GGGCCACAATTATACTTTCCAGACTGTTCCTCAGATCCCTCCACCTACCACCTTCCTCTGCCTAAATTTAGAGTGTCTTGGTTATTTGTCTTTTTATCTGGGTACCTAAAGTGATGATGGGCACATAAAAAGTGCACTATAAATGTTTTAGTTGAAGTCTATTTGACCCTAGTTTCTCTCTTAAGTAACAGCCTCAGCTATGTCTCGTTCTAAAAGCTCTCTTTTGTATAATTAATAACATAAAAGTTTTTAAAAATAAAATTTAGGACCGTCATAGAATGACCCCAAAGGACAAAGAAGTCATTCTAAGTTCACATTTTTCTGCTGCCAAAATTTTCTCTATAGCTATGCTGTCACCACCTAAAAGCTGACTATTTTCATCATCTCTGAGCTTTGGTGACACTCCAGAGTGTCCAGAGTAGCCCCTTTGCAAGTTTCCTCTGTTGGCCACCACAGTATCTGCTGACTCACCTGCCTGTTGTTCTGAGCACCGTGTGACAAGCAGAGGCAGCCCTCTGGGACCAGTACACGCCTGTGGCTACAGATATTAGGCTCCTTGTCAGTATTTCTTGGGTGAGAATTTGAGGACTGTGATTCTCTGATATTCAGGGCCAGAAGATAACCCTTTATCCCTGGCGTCCACCATTTTGGACTTCTGTTAGGCAAAATGTATAATTATACATTTTGAGCTATAATTACCTGTCACTTCCTCCAGAGGGCAGCACTCGGGTTTAGCTAGCCTTCCATCTTTGGGTCCCCAAGCGCGTCACTCGTGTCATGCTTGCTGTTTGAAATTTCAAGCTGCCCACTTCAGCAATCTATAGCCGTTCGTTTCTTCCTTCTAAGTGTTTTGTCAGGGTATATGAAAATAAAGCCACAGTAGAGTACAGTCCTCGGTAAACTTCGACTGAGTATCCCAAGTCAAAATGGATTTGGAAGAAAAGCAATGAATGAATGGTTCAGTTCACTCCAGACCTGTCTTTCCCAGATCTGTCTGACTCTGGAGGTCATGGGTCTGGGTCTATGGGCAGCGCTTGTCTCCCTGCAACTTATGCTCCTTGGCCAAGCTGAGCAAGTATGAGTACAGACATGTCCCTACATGGAAGGGTCCCATCTTCTTCCTCCTGACAGCAGTTGAAGGCTCAGTTAAGTGTCTTTTTATGGGATCTTTTTCCTTCGCCCTGGTTTTATTTTAATTACTTATTTTCACAAACCCATTTTGTGTGCAATTGTAGCACTGTCTCTTTGGCACTGACGGGACTTCCTTCGTTACATTAGCTAAGGTCACTGTTTAAGATGCCACAGCACACGGATCAGATGGATGGTTTCCACAGACATATTTGAGACTAACAATTCCTTGGCCTCTAGGCCTGTCCCTCTCCCGTATGGCTGGCACCAATGAGTGCTTGTTGAGTGAATGAATAAGTCAATGTTTTACCTATATTCAGGAAAAAATAATACCTTAGCTTAAGCTGAACGGTTGACCAAACAAGAGCTTCCCTCTCACATCTGAGAAACTCAGAAGTAGAAAGAGGGGACTATTTTGCCTGTGTTTTAATGGATGTAAATTACCTTGTAAATTTCTTCTAGTAATCCATACTTCTCCTCCCAAATTTATAATTAGGAAGCAAAGAACATAACACTTCCTTGCAAAGAGATGTAGTGATTCTGGCAGTACTTCATTAATCACTTAATCACCGCTCAAGCAGAACCAATGTTCTTGACGTAGTATAATCAATCTTGATTCCTCCAGCACTTGATTTCCATCCTTTTGGAAATGCACCCACTACACACACTCAGGATCAGTGGCCTCGTTACACATCCCGGGAATTTCAGGGACAACTGTTATGCGCACACAGGAGCAGCCAGAAGGGTGACGCCTACAGTGGCTCTCTTCATGGAAGACTGTTTTGTTGTTAGTGAAGTCAAAGGGATTGGTGGTGCTGGAAGGCAGGTGTGGTAGCTCACGCCTGGGATCCCAATTGCTTGCGATGCCAGGGCAGAAGGAGGGAGCTCAGGACTAGCCTATGGGATAGCTGGATTCTGCCTCTAATAAGCAGGGGAGAGTGACGGAGACGTGAGTTGTTAGGATCAGACTCCGGTGGCTTGGGTCGTTTGCTAACTTAAAGGATGGAGAGGTAGCACATTTGTTTGTGTAGGTGAGCCTACTGGTGTGAGATACACACTGATTTGCTTCCCCGAAGCTGCATCCCATGGTACGGGCATGGTTCCAGGACTCGGTAGCACGGATCAGGCTTAACTAGTAGTCTTTTATGCTTTGGAATGGATTTTGGTGATTACGAGTGTGATTCCACCATTTCTAATTCTGCCACTCTTTCTCCTTAAATGTGCATTCATCTGGAACCTTAAAACATTGTTTTTTCACCTCTAATCCTGGTGATATGCAATGTCTTTGTCTGCTTATTCATCCTGCCACTCCTATAGCTCTTGTTCATGTCACAATTTTTTTCTTTTTTTTGTTTTGTTTTTTGTTTGTTTGTTTTTGTTTTTCAAGACAAGGTTTCTCTGTGTAGCTTTGGCTGTCCTGAACTTGTTTTGTACACTTCAAACTCACAGAGATCCCCCTGCCTCTGTCTCTCCAAGTGCTGGGATTACAGGCCTGGACCACCTTGCCTGGCTGAGACAAGGATTTTTAAAATCTGATTCTTTGAATAGTATGTTTCCCCCATAAAGGATAATAGCATGATATCTCAGAATCATGTTGCCCTCACTACGTGTGATTAAGACAAAAGTAAACTTATCTTTAATAACATTAAAAAAAATAGAGTTCTGTTTGGCAAATGTTCAGAGTAGAACTATGATGCCCAGCAGATCTGCAGTCTGCAGTAGCTCTGCCACTCAGGGTCAGGAAGTCCGAGGACTCCTTCCAGGGTCTTGTTGGATGAACAGGTGAGTGACTGCCCCACTTGCAGTCATGAAAGCGTACCTCAGCCAGAGCTGAACAGTTGATCAGGCCAGTGTTCCCCTCGCACTTCTTAGAAACTCAGAAGTAGGGGTCTTACTTGGGTCTTCTCATGGGCCATGGTAGTTTTTCGTGGTTTATTTACCAGACTGTCCTTCACATCCTTATGAGATTTGTATCATTCATGGCCCCAACAGTGAGGCTCTCAGAGATCGGGTCATCAGTCCAGAGCTGCACAGCTGGTCTGAGGAGGGTCCACCTGTATCCACAACTCTTCTCCACAATCCAGTTACTCAATGTGCTCATCTGAGATGGATATACTGAGGCCCAGTCAGTAGCTATCAGAGCTGGATACATTTGACTGTGTACATCAGATAGAAGCTGAGCTACAGGGCGATCACAGCAAAATAATTATCCTTTATTGAAAAATTAATGGAACTCTGAGCTAGCTAGAAAGCAATTAGTGGATTACAGCAGAAATTAAGGCTAGCATTCTGCCCAGGCATGAAAAGGTGAAAAGAAGGGTCGGAGGGAAGGTTAATTATTGAAGTCCATATCACATTGGCGAGAGGTAGATTTGATTTTGAATGACTATTACTAATAACCACCCAGAGATGGCTTTCATTAGGAAAACAAATTTCCTGATCTAAATGAAATCTCCCTAAAACTATTCATTACCTACCCCAACCCCTCGGCACTCGCTTCTCTTCTGCTCTGATGTATGGTAATCAAAGCATTTTCCTGACAACTAATTTAACTCCTCAAACACATGGTTATAAGAAAGGTTATCAATTATTAAATGAGGTATGGCTTTCACTAATACATTGACAATGTTTTCAACAGAGTCTTAAGTGATTTGGGTTACTATAAATCAGCTCTCAGCCTGATCAGTTTTGGAGGAAACCAAACGTATTTGCCCAAATAGGAGGCACTATCCCCTCAGTCCTGTGTATTAGAAGGCTCATTTACACTGTCACAAACCTCCTATGGCTCCCCCTGTCTCTGCTCTGCCTTTGCTATCACTCTCTGTGCCCTAAGCCCATTTAAAGGAAATGGATAAGCTCCCTTCAGAGTTTTAGAGAAAAAATGGGAAGTAAAGTGTAATATGGGAGCCTGGCTAAGGGCAGGACAAAAGAACTCGTGGATATGAACAGATCTTCTGCGATAAGGCCACCTTACAGCCCAGCTGCCATGGGCTTTAAGCAGCAGCTGCTGACATGTCCAATCAGCAGCAAGCACTTACTGACTTCAGACCACAGAACTAAGAGAGCGTTATCACCTTTAGAATGACTGCTAGGACAGCAGGCAAGCAGTGGACAAGCTTTCTGTGGCTGGATCCGACCAGCTTTTTCACTGGAGACTGACCCAAAGTAGGGAGACTCGAGGGAGCGCCCCGTCACGTCCTGTGTCATTTTCTACTGCTGCCTCTGTGCCCCGCGCCTCCTTCCCTCCTTCAAATCTAGGTCTCAAGCATCCGCTATTGCCAGTGGCTGCATGCTTTCTGGGCTACTCCTGAGAAGAACATCAGCCGATCCCCTTTTGCACTCCTGGTGCCTCTAGACAGGAAGCAATCTGCAGCTTTAAGCACTGAGTCCTTTCTGGAACAGCTGCAGAGAGGCACTTCCGTTTATTTCATTACCTTGTGGTTCTCTGCAGGAAAAACGAGGCTAGAGAGATTTTCATCTCAATGGCTCTCGAATAAGCTGCCGTGTCCCAAACATTAAGAAATTTGTCTGAAGAAAAATCGATTTTGCCTGCTTCCTGAACACGCAGTGTTCCTCTGTATTACTGCTCTCGGTTCAAGTGTTCTAAGAACTTTGACTCTCAGGAAACCCTGTTCATCCATGCCCAGGAGCCTCTTAGATTAGTGGTCCTGTTACTGCCAGTGAGGACTCTTCTGCCTGGCAGGGAACTATTGTATGCAAATAAAGACTTTCCAGGGGACTCTGTCCCTTAACTCCAAAATGACTGGCAGCTGTGACTTATCACAGCTTAGATGCACATGCTGGGATCATCATAGCCTTAGCTAATTATATATGAAAATTGCATACCACATCTTTCGTTCATTCTGTTACAGATAAAGGAATTTTCATCATCCAGAGCGAGAGCCTCAAGACTTGCATTCAGGCAGGTAAATCTGTCCTGACCCTGGAGAGCTGTGAGCAGCCAAACAAGCACATGCTGTGGAAATGGGTCTCAAACAACCACCTCTTCAATGTGGGAGGTGGTGGCTGCCTGGGTCTGAATGTGTCTAATCCGGAACAAGAGTTAAGCCTCTACGAATGTGATTCTACCCTCGTTTCCTTGAGGTGGCACTGTACCAGGAAGGTGATCGTGGGCCCACTCCAGTACGGGGTCCAGGTGAAGCACGGCAGCAGCACCGTGGTGGCGTCGAGGAAACAGCTCCATAAATGGATCACCTATATGTCCGGGGGTGGAGACGTCTGTGAGCATCTTCACAGAGGTAAAAGTAGGCCTAGATGTCCAGAGCAACATAGACAGTATACCATAAGTGAATATATAGAAAGAGATGGCAATAGAGATATAGAAACAGAATTCTACAATGTAAAAGAAGCACATGGAGCCTGTGACGCCGAGGCTTCTGGGAACTTTTAGTAGCTTCCTTGCTTATGGTAAAAGGACTATCAGATCTTGGGATGGATGTGCTAAAGAGATGGCACTCTCAGAATTTAAAGATGTTGAAGGAAAATATTGAACTAGCTCCAGGAATCACTACAGGTGGGGGAAAAGCCAGCAAGAGGGGGAGGTGGAAAACCAGGACGTATCAACAGGGAAGGGTTTTGCGCTGACAGGTATAAAGCAACCACACTGGGTACCACTTCTACGATTGTGGAGGCTCATCTCCACCTGTGGGGGGTGCGAGGGGGTGTCTCTGGTACACTCAGATGCCTTCTAAGCCTGGCTGTCCATGTGACAGCCGTGCTACAAGGCACTGGAAGATAAATGACACACTATTGTCAAGGGTTATTTGTTGGGTACCAAGCATGGATTGTGGGGAGGCATGATTTATAGGGGGACTTTCATTTTCTACAGTTCTGTTACTTTTTGGCATTTTTAAACAGAAAAAGAATGGAGGATATAAAAATAAAACTACACAGTAAAACGCTGACACCCACATTTCATCCCTTCACAGGTCTATTCATTTGTACACCCATCCATCCATCCATCCATCCATCCATCCATCCATCTGTACACAGTGTACACAGTGCATTGTTGTTGTGCATGTTTGTTTTTGTTTTTCTTGAGCACTGACTGTGGATCAGACAGTGTTAGGGACTTGGAATACAGAGACCAAGACAGATGTGGTCCTCCTCCTCGGGATTCGAAGTGCAGCGGCAAAGTCCTACATCCTAAGGCAGGACCTTCTGCTGCTGATGTGAGTGAGTGAAGAGTCAGGTCCAAGACTAAGACTTTTTTTGGGGGGGGGAGGCTTGCATGCTGCAGTAAAGCAAGAGCTTTCTCAGCACGCTGACCTCCCTACAGTCCTCAGAGAGAACTTGATGCTTGCCTTATGTTAGCCCTCTAGCCATACTGACAATGCACACAGCAGCCCACACTGCTGAGTAGAAAACAAGGGACTGAAAGAGATAAAAGGCTGGGTCCTGAAATACCTCTAATTCCTGTGAAAATCTGCAGTGTGGTGGGAACCCAGTCCATCCCCTGCCAAATGCGAGGTGGTGTAGAAATCTCCATAGTTGATCCTCTTGTCTAGATGAAGACCTGATGGCTTCATTGAATATGGCTTAGAAACCCCCATCTTAGAAATCACCCATTGAATCATGAGTGGTCAGTCATGATGGGAGATGATGGCCAAGGAGGATGGATTTTTGCAACATTCTGAGTAAGCTGTCAGCAGATCTGCTCCGCATGGCCATCTTGATGAGAACAGGAGCTAGAAACCGGTCAGGTGTGTTGAGGCTCTGAGGATGGCTTTGCTGGAGACCTGGAATGCCAGAAAAGTGTAGATTCGTGTTTCTCTTCCGTCTCCTAAAAAGGCATTCTGTGGCCATGGCAACCGCCTGACGGAGACTGAGAGGAGGCAGCTGGGCGCCTTGTGGTTGTGCAACTGGACTGGCCAGTTCATCTTCCCCTCATACCGCAGCCCACTTTCTGCCCCAAGTCCTTTCAAAGGCCCAGACTGGCAGCTGGACCTGAGTTGGTACCTGAGTTCCTAGGCGCCCCCCTGCTTTACAGCCCAGCCCACCTGTAAAACTAAAATAAGTTTCTAAAACTTTCCCTCCGTGGTCCATGGATTTCTTTTTCTTTCTTTCTTTCTTTCTTTCTTTCTTTCTTTCTTTCTTTCTTTCTTTCTTTCTTTCTCTCTCTCTCTCTCTTTCGCTTTCTCTCTCTTCTTTCTCTTTCTTTCCCTTCCTTCCTTCCTTCCTTCCTTCCTTCCTTCCCTCCTTCCTTCCTTCCTTCCTTCCTTCCTTCCTTTCTTTGAGGCAAGCACTGCCTGAGAGTAGCGGAGCGGGGAGCAGCTTCGCTGGCCGTGTCTGAGACCCCAGCTCCCTTAGCGGGATGCTTCAGTAGAGGGCACCACCCACAAGAGTGCTATGGATAGAAGCTGCCTCACCCGCTTCACTCTCCCATTCGGACTGTGTCACCGTGCACCCAGGCATTTTTTTTTCTTTTTTCTTTTTCTTTTTCTTTTTAAGACTAGAAGTCTGTTTTCATGACTTCCTCATTTGAAACCCGCCAGTGACACCCCCCCACCCCGCCACCTTCAGAATAAAGACGGAAGTATATTAACAGCAATCTGAGGAACAGCTTCCCGGAGTCCACTCCCTGGAGCCTCCTTTCTTCTCAAACACTCTTTTCTCCAGTTCTTATTGTTCTGGGACAGTTTCTTTCCCCAGACTAGCATCCTTGCTCCAACCAACTTATTCATAGAGCCTTCAGGACAGCCATCCAGCGCAGGGGCCACTCCACTCGATGGCCAATCTTCTTATTTTTATTTTCTTATAGTTTATTTTCTTCATGGCGTTTATTATTACATAAAACTACGTTCACATATTCTTTCTCCACCAAACTAGCTTGTTAACAGAAAGGTTTTTTTTTTTTTTTTTTTTAAATTTCCCTACTATATTTCCAGGGTATGTTAAAGGATCAACAAGTACTTATTTTTTTTTAATTTTAAGAGATTCATTTACTTACTTAATTATTTTGTGTGTGGATGCACGTTAACCACACGCATGCCTGGTGCTCACAGAGGCCAGAAGAGGGCGCTGCATCCCATCCCCAGGAGTTACGGTGGTTGTGAGTCATCCACGCGGGGCTCTGGGAATCAAACCCAGGTCTCCCGAAAGGGGAGCAAGCACTCCACAACATTAAGCCACCTTGCTAACCTGCAGATATCTATTGGCTGTTGTGAAAATTCCTTCCTTGAGGAGACGTAAAAAACATCTACATAGTGTCCCAATGACAAACAGAAAGCGGAGTTCGCCAAAGTTATCCCTGAGGAAGCAATGCTTCAATAGGCTCACAATAGGGTCGGAGGTATGGCCTGGAGACTGGGCGGGCCTAAAGCAGCCATACTGAAGGTCTATGCTTAACATGAATGATAGCCCTTCATGGCTGCGTAAATAAACCCCTCTTCCTTTGGCCTTCCACAGCCTATGCACTCACGTGCCTCTGAATCTCTCAGGACAGTTATACACATTTGAATACAGATGGTGTGGGAGGAGGAGATGGCTAGATAGTCAGGGGAGAGTCCTATGGCCCTCTCCGCCTTCTCCTTTCTTTCAGGAAAGTCAACATGCCACAGGCCCAATCATGATGACACTTCTGATCTGAGGAAGATGGCAGCTGTTTTGCTTAGAGGACTGTGTTCTACACGTCAACCAATGAACGCACAGACACCTATGAAACTATTTGAGTTCAGTCAGTGAGGGCTGATAGGAGGCTGGCACTTTAAGAGAAAAATGCCATTACATTTTTTTTTTTTTTTAAATTTCATTCGTAAATTTGTATGCTGCTGTGAGCAGTAGCCATAGTAAACAAACAGCTAGATAAACATAGGAACAAACCAATTGCCACTCCTTCTAAAGTGTGTCTGCACTCACTAGCTGGTGAGGCCCCGAGGGCTCATAGAGCTTTTAACAAGTGCCTGCCTGTGGGAGGTTTTCAACCAATAAAAACACGCTAACCGATGACACTTTCCAATGAAGATGCTGACACCGTGTTTGATTGTGATTTTTCTTTTCCTCTCCTAGATTTATACACAATCAAGGGGAATGCCCACGGGATGCCTTGTGTGTTTCCTTTCCAGTTCAACCATCGGTGGCACCATGAGTGTATCCGGGAAGGGCAGAAAGAGGGCCTGCTGTGGTGTGCCACCACAAGCCGATACGAACGGGATGAGAAATGGGGATTCTGCCCAGATCCTGGTAAGAATACATACATCTCCATATGTCACGAATGAATCAAGGATGATTGGAAACATATCTGTAGTGAAGGAAAACCACCAAGGTTGATGGGCTGATGTCTGAATAAGCACTCTGATTCCATCAATCTAGACTTTGATTTGAGGTTTGTTTTTGACTTGAAGAGACAATTTTTAATTCATAATCCTTTCCCCCTCTACATTCAAAAGACACTAACTAGCCTTTCTTCATCAGGCTTGGTGCGTAAAAATGATTTAACTGCAATCAAATTATAATATTCTGGGATCTTGCCAATGCCAGCTTCCCAGCAGGAAGCTTCCAAACAACCAGAACACAGACAAGAGCCAGCCATCCTTTCAATCCATGGCTTTGTATGAGCTGCCGTAACGTGTCCACACCCAGACTGCCTGTATGCTTACTGTCAAGTCCAGACATCAGCCAGCCCCTTGATGATCTTTCTGTAGCCCCGAAGTTGCCCTCATGACTCATCAACCACGAGGTCTCATCTGGAATTCTGACTTCTCCAACCTCTCTGTGTAGTCTCAAAACCTTCTCTCAAGTTCTTAACCTAATTTTCCAAGTCCAGTGGCAACTATAACATCCTACTTCTTGATCTCGGATAGTGCTGGATTACTATATATTTTTTTTTATTTAACTAAAAGATTTCCTATTGTCCCTAAGTTTGGAGGATTACCCATAACTTCTGCTCTCTGTATTCTGCTTCCTTCACGTTGGTTCCTGAGACTCAAAAAAAATATATACCACCTACCCTGCCTTCATGCCCACCTCCCTTCCATGCTTGCAATAAAACGCAACAATTAAATTTGAAAGAAAGGCAAATTAAAGAGCCAACTGCCAGTAGTGCAATCAGTAAGCTATCTGAATAGTTATGCTCTAGTGTAAGAGCCACGGGGTGGTTTCGAACTTAAACAAACCAAGGTGAGTCCAACTTCCTCCCAGCAGTGGCTCTTTAGAAAGTGCCTCTGACAGAATGAAGACCATAGCATTGCCTGTTAGGGTTACTGTGTATATTCAATTCGACAGTGCATCAAAGACACTTAGAGAGGCAGGCTCTCAGTAAGCCCTCATATGGACCGGCTGTCACTCATTTTTTCAGCATGATTTCTGTTTTGGCAGTGCCGGGTACCAGACCCGGAGCTTTTAACAGGCCAGGCAATCACTCTGCTACTGAGCTACAGCCCTGTCCTCTCAGCATTTGCTTCTGAATGAATGATCCATCCTCTTCCTTGCTGGTCCTGCCACTAGACGGGGCGTAGAGAGTGGCGAAGGCTAAGAACTTGAAAGCTTCGGGTGTCCCCTCAAAGAAATTGGCATCTAGACTTAAGGCAGGGTGAACAGGCTTGCTCTGTGCCAGAGAATGCAGACAATATTGGATGTGATGCTCGGAATCCCCTGGGGGAAGCAGCCCAGTGGTCCAGGATGTGTGACCTGGTTCAGATGTGGGGCCCAGGCACCTGCATTTTTGGCAAGTGCTAAGGTGAGCCTGATTCATATATTCTTCACCAGGGAATCCGCAATATGCAAGTAATTTCAGGCTATCTCTACCTATACACCAGGATGATATAAGGAGATTTATCAGCCAACATCACTCCAGGTATCAACCATTCCACACGGATACCGTAGTGTGAGGCCCCGTTCTTCACATGGGATCGCTTTTAAGTACAGCCTTCTCCCTAAGGCGCTTTAAAAAGAACCATATACTAGCTTACCTTCCATGGCATTTCTATAAAGCAATACAATCAAAAAGCAAATTGGGGCTGGAAGGGCTTATTCGGCTCCTCTTCCCAATCCACAATGAAGAGAAGTCGAGGCGGGAACCTGGAGGCAGAACTGAAGCAGAGGTCAGTGAGGGACACTGCTCCGTGGTTTGCTCCTCATTCACACAACCTGGGAGCTCCCACACCATCAATCAAGAAAATGCTCCACAGGCTTGTTCACCGGCCTCGCTGACGGAGGCATTTTTCTCAATTGCGGTTCCCTCTTCCCAGATGACCAACGCTTGTGTCAAGCTGGCAAACTGACCAGCACCAACAGTTTTCTTAAGTTTCTGAAAAGAATTTTGTCACCACCCCCTGTCACTCGTAGCCAATTTCCATTTCCCCTGTCCAGGAAGCTAGGTGTTCTTGAGCTCAGGGCTTTTTCATTCCCCAGACCATTTGCTCAGCTCGGGGGGGCTTCTTCAGGAAGCTTCCAGCTTCCTCACAGCAGCAGAGAGCATGGTGATATCATGCTAAAACAACAGCTTTGTTTTCTCCCTTTCTTATTACTTTTGGATCCTGGTGAACAACATAACTCATAGTGAATCTGAGTACAATGACAGCCCTTTTCATGAGTCAAAAAAGTAGACAGGACAAAGAGAGACAAAATAAAGATTCTCACTTTTTGTATCTCATCTAATTTTACAAGGAACAAAATTTTCTGCTTGTGAAATGATGGCTGCCTGTGATAAAAGTTGACTGTAAGGGAGCAAAATTTAAACTTAACACGTGAACAAACCCGATAGCCCTAAGAGTATAGTTAAACACTGTCAAGAATAAGCATGATAAACAGGCCTCAACTCAGGTTTGTTTAGAATAAAGTCTGGGTCATGCCCACACTCTCTGGGCTGTATACCTCACACTGTGAGAGAATTACATTTAGAGATACTTTTGGAATTCTGTCTTCTGGAATGATCCAATTTGCCCCTGAACTTTATTCAGTTAATATATTTTTGATCAGGAATTTGAATGATGGAACTGGATAGATTGGCACCTACAGTAATTGCAACCTTCATCGGGGTCCTTAAAATGGATCAACAATATGTTGTGCCTCTCTTTGTAATAATAAAATAATAATTAATAATAATTTTAATGATTTTAAAAGAATAATTAATGATAATTTTAATAATGATTTAAAAATAAATAAACTTGTGCTTCAAAGAACCTGTCAAGAACCCCGAGAAGAATGGGTTAGTGGTAGAGTGCTTGCCTGGCATGATCAAGGTCCCAAGTTCTATTCCCAGAACCCTCACTCCAAAGATCTCCTTCAAATGGAAGAAAATATTTACAAATCACTGGCCTTGTGAGGATATTGTAGACTGATTTTACACAATCCACAGATTCCCATGGGTGGTACTGCTTCCACTGGGCTGGGCCCTTGTCTTAGTTACTGTTCTATTGCTATGAAGAGACACCGGGACCATGGAAACTTATAAAAGAAAGCATTTAGTTGGGGGAATGCTTTCAGTTTCAGAGGATGCACCCATCATGAACATGGCAGAAAGTACGGCAACAGGCAGGCAGGCAGGTGTGACACTAGAGCAGCACCAAAGAGCTTACATCTTACAAGCACAGGTGGGCTCCTGAAACCTCAAATTCACCCCCAGCGATATACCTTCCCCAGCAAGGCCCCACTTCCTAATCCTTCCCAAACAGTTCACCCACTGGGTGTCAGATTTAAAGGAAATTTCAATTTCCCAAGCTACAAAATGCTCTACAGGGTGATTTCTGATGGATAGCCATGGTGCCTGGGAAACTTGTTAAACCAGTTCCCATCTGTCAAAAGGAGTCCTTTCCCTTAGCGCTGGCAGAAGACATGGAGGGCTCCATCGACAATATCAAAGCCTGTACCAGCCTCCAGGCTCCCTCAGCATCATAAGTACCTGCTCTACATTTCAAAGTCCACATTAGCACCCTATCCCTTCTCACTTTCTCCCTACCCTAACAGGACTCATCCCAGCTCATGGGCTTCCCTCCCCACAGCTGCTCATCCTTCTCACAACTTGTCTGTTCTCACTATCTGCTCTCTATTCTCTGTCTCTGGTTACTCCACTTTCTCTCACAGACAGCTCCGGCTGTGTTCAATCTGCTACTTTTTCTCTCTGCTCTTTCTCATATCTGCAATAAAAAGCCTTCCCTTTAACCATAACATGGAGTGGTCATGTCGGCAGTTTCTTTACTGTGACCCCTCAAATACTCTGAAAACCAAACATTCAAATGTGGGAGTCGTTCTCATTCAATCCATCACAGCCCTCCCACATCAATCATTAATCAAGAAAGTGCCCCACAGACATGCCCACAGGCCAAGCCTCATGGAGACAATTCCTTAATTAAGGTCCCCTCCTCCCACGTGACTCTAGTTTATGTCAAACTGGCATACTGCTAAGGAGATATCATACAATACATAATACTGAGCAGAAAAAAAAAAGAAGCCACAACATAAGTGACTCATAAAACCATAATTCTAAGAAAATAAGCAAGGCACACAATAGCATATATGATATAATTTCAGTTATATGAAATGTATAATAAAAGCAAATATATAGGCACAGACATGGCATTAATGGTAGCCATTATAACACAATAACGTGAAATGGATGGAGGTAGGTAGGGGGGAGGTTGAAAGGGAGACTCAGACTGGCCCTTCATGAGTACTTTGCTTTTTCTTCATATGATTTAACCATTCTAAAACAATTACGATGGTTCCACAATCTTCTGGCTATCCTAAAGATTGGATTATGTGGTTTAAATAGATGAATTACATGGTGTATGACTTATGTTGCAATAAAAACTTTAGGAGATGAGGAATTAAAGACAGTATGTGCATGAAAGTATATAATCATTGGAGACAAAGAGAAGTCAATAACTGGAATGGGGAAAACAAAGTTGAGAGATTTTTGTCTCCTTTTAGAAATAAACGATACTCTGCCATCTTGGAATGCATCTGGAAATAATGCAACTGAGGCATGAAAGATACAGGAAAGTGAAAGCACTTGATGGCTTCTATGTGGTCTCTCAGAAATCAGAAGTAGGGCTCCGACCACACACTCAGCCTTTAACCTGTTGTAGACACAAGAGGAATTCTTAGTAGGAGCGATGGAGAGGAGAGCATAGGTCCAAAGACAATGATAGGTTGTGCGGTGGGAGAAAACGAGAAGAAACTGATCCAATGGCTGTGACGTTGGACAGCTCAGTACGTCTACAGTGTTTCCTGGCCGGTACCTGTATTTACAGATGAGTTCAATATTAAAGACAGCGGAAGACAAGCTTGTCACCCAACAGCATTTAAGGAAAGAGAGAGAGGAGGAGGAAGAGAGAGGAAAATGTTTAGGAACCGCTTTGCTGGGGTGTCTAGAATGTCCTTGCTCAGATGGAATCCTTCAGGACCTCTCCAAATTCCACATAGGAAATAGTTGCAGTGAGGGTTTTGCAAATGATGCGTGTGGGCTGTGGAAACAGGCTGGAGCATGCTAGATTTTGCCTGGGTTTACGCTGCCTGTGATGATTTCTAAGGTTAGATGATCAAGAAACTTCAGTCAAATATTTGCAATAGACACGCACATTCTCACAAGTCAGCTTACTTACCATTCACATCTGTTTAACTCAAACGTTAGAATTCATGCTTCTGTGCAGGCAGACGCAGGTGATGTCTGCTTCTCTAGAGGGGCTGTGTTATTCTACATATCTCGTTTAAAAGTTGTCAGTCAATTTTCATGGTGTCAGTGGTCACATCGGCCGACATAAAGTCTAAACCCAGTGTATTATTGTCCATCTCAGGGAAGGCCTACCATTTTACCTAACGGCAGCGATGAAGGATTCCCTCCCAACGAGGACATGCTAGCCACCCCAGTAAAGTGGTTCCTAGAAATTTCCCCTTCTTTTCCTCCTCCCTGCTCCCTGCCCTTAAATATTGCTTGGTGACAACCCTGTTTTCTGTTGTCTTTACTATCGGACCCATCTATAAACTCACGCACCAGCCTGGAAATACTGTAGACATATTTAGATGTGTAATTATTTACTTATTTCCAATGATCTAATTTGGTTCTTGAAAATGTGTTCAGTAACTAGGCATAAAATCAGGGCTACATTTCTCAAGGCAGTTATCTAAGTATTCTAGGTAAAAACATACCAAAAAAGAGTCATTGTCAAGTCAGTTTGAAGTATATTGAATTAATATTAAGTGGGTTTCTTAACCGCAGGAATCTTCAATGTGGTATACATTATGTATTCCCAGAGGACACGCCACACATATTATGAACCAAATTGTCATGGGAAGTGTCTCGAAGTCACTTTGCTTTAAGGACCATACTTGGGGAAAGAATGACCTAGACGGCAGCTTGCTGCTTCTCCATCAGTCACGTGTATGCCAAAATACAGTTCGAGTTTTCTACACTGTGTCATTGTGTGACTGAGTTTGAGCTGGAGAATTAGTTCACCTTGGGGGCTGGTTTAGAATTTTAGCAAGAGCAGCCATCTGGGCCTTTGCTTTCCATCATTTTAATAAACTCCAGATTCCAGATCTACACTTCACATTCTATTACATTTACTTTTAAGCATACCATGAAATCTTTGACCAGTGTCTTACAAGTAGATTCTGTTTCTATTCCTCTCGTCTGAAGTCTGAAAGAATTACTTAAAATTAGTATCGTTGTTCCTGTGCCCGGTGAAAGCGTGTCTTCATTTTTGACGAGTGTATCTACTTATATCACTTTCACTTCATTTTGGCAGCTTGGTATTAGAGGAGAAAGGTTTGGAGAACAACACTAAGGTCTATCCCAAGTAAATATTTAATTCCCACATTTAACATAGAGTCCTAAAAGCTTGCTTATAAGAGAATCAAAATATTATTTTCAAAAATACTTCATCTCCACTTCTTTCTCTTAAAACTAGTTTCTCTTACTTCCTTTAAAGTATTGAGTATTCTTTACTGATCACTTTTGAGTTTCCTCAGGTAAATTTTGAATGAGTAAGATGCTAATGAAACAACAGTGCATAAATTGCTAGTTAAGACACTGAAGTTTTAGAGCTTGCAGGCTGGAATCATCTTATTTAAATTCATCTTAGAGATGTTAGATATCACTGCACAGAGAAGAGCGTCATGAGTGTTTTTAATGAACTCTTTTCAGCCTCTACCAGGACATTTTGTGATGCCATGTGGCAAAGGAACTCCAGTTCACACATTTGCTACCAATTCAATCTGCTTTCATCTCTCTCTTGGAATGAGGCACATTCTTCATGTCAGATGCAAGGAGGTGCTTTGTTAAGTATTACGGATGAAAATGAAGAAAACTTTATAAAGAGTAAGTATGGGAATGGAAAATAGCTACTGTGGACATTTTTGTTCTTGGATGATATATATATATATATATATATATATATATATATATATATATATATATATTCCTTAATATGACCCAAATTCTAATTCTGAATTTTAAAACCTTAACTTATGGTGTGTGTGTGTGTGTGTGTGTGTGTGTGTGTGTGTGTGAGAGAGAGAGAGAGAGAGAGAGAGAGAAAGAGTTCGAGTGTGTGCATGCATGCATGTGCGTGCAGATGGCAGAGAACAGCTTTTCAGGAGTCAGTTCTCTCCTCCTAGCATATGGGTTCTAGGGATCAAATTCAGATTGTCATGCTTGGTGGCAAGTGCCCCTACCCACTGGGCCATCCCACTACCCCTCCAATCCTGAATTGTTTTCTGTGAACACTGTGCTTTTTTCTTTGGCATCTACTCGTGTCTCAGTTTCCCCTTGGGGAAGAGAAGTTGAAGCTCTAGCACGTGACCCAGGAGAGCTGCAACTCTTGCAGGCGGATCAGAGGAGTTCCCAAACTTAAGAACCAGTGCTTGTAATCTGCAGGATGTAGATTACATCCACTCCACTGGATGTAATGATCAGTCCATTCACTAACATCTTATCCATCCTGTGTGCAGGTGCCCACAGTGCCAAAACTTTAATATTGGAGGGCAAATTAAAAAAGAAAACACTTCCACATATAAGACAACATATATATTTCACAGTGCCAGCAGTGATGGGGATGGAAAAACAGCTTTACTCTATTCCCACATCAGGCTAATGTTGTCTCTTTCCCTTAGGGACCTCCGTTCAGGCAAAACTGAGATTTGTGGCTTTGACAAAGAGAGTCATTTTTTTGGAAACATAATATGATAGAGTTGGAGATTTATTAGAAGACATTTTAACATAGATCTTAAGATATAGGGTCGAAGCAAAGTGTAGGAGTAGCCATTGCTACCATGTTTTGAGTCTGGAATGTGGTGTTTGGGGAGAGAGCTTTTCTATGCTGTCTCAGACTGCTCTCTTTCAGCAATAGCATGACTTGAGACAGCAGTATATCAGACTTCTTGGAAATAGCCCTCCATATAAGCTTTGCATTGTTTAATCTGATCCAAGAGTGGGATGTGAAAAGTGTAAGGGGATTTTTATTGTTATTTCTATTAACACTTATTTTAATAAACGTTACATAGTTCTTTGACCAGAAAACAGAAACAAAGAAACAAAGATGAAATTCAAGCTGTGTTTAGCAAGGCAGACCCACCCAAGTTACAGGCAAGGAAACTCGCCAGCAGTACTTTAGACAAGTTCCCAAGTTGTCAATGGTAATAAACACAGAGGCACAGATACACTCTGTTCCCCACATGAGCGTGAAGAGTTTCCTTTCTGTTAGGAACTTCCATTCTGGCAAAGCAGAGTTTGTTGTTGAATGAAAAAAAGAATATAAGGCTGAACCAAATATGAAGCAGAATTAGAGATTTATTACATGACGTTTTAACATTATCTTAAACACAGCGGTTAATAGAGAAGCACCTGGGGGAAAAATAAAAAAGACAGACACAAACATTGTATCAGTTTCTCAAGAGTGAGATCCTGTCTAGGTATCTTTACAATAGATGTTTATAGAATTTTGGTGGCCTTGTTACCTCTCTAACGATTGCTCAGAAGTCATTCTTCCCCATTTTTAAACATTTCTCAGAGATATACTTTACACCCATGTTAGAAGTTAAATAATTTTCCTCTGGGATTGGGGAGATGGCTCAGCGGTTAAGAGCACTGGCTGCTCTTCCAGAGGACCCAAGTTCAATTCCCAGCAACCACATGGCTGCTCACAACTGTCTTTAACTCCTGTTCCGGCAGATCCAATACCCTCACACAGACATACATGTAGGTAAAACACCAACCTGCATAAAAAATAAAAATAAATAAATTACTTTTAAAAAATAAATTGATGTGCTTTAAAAGGTTCTTTTTTTTCTTCTGAAGAAAGTTGTAAGTTGATTTATGAAGGATACTGTTTAGATTTAGGAATGTGAGAAGCTCAGAGTTAGGCTAAAGTATACACCATTTGTTTCTTAGCTTTGACAAGATAGCTTTAGGAAAAAAAAAAAAATGTATTTGGCCCTATCAGTGGTCAGTGGTGCCTGAAGTTCCTGTCTCCATCAGTAGGATAAGTAAACCAGACCCGGGATGAAAGGCCTAATTTTTCATGCTTTCCGTCCCATGTGCCCGTAATTTTTCCTACCTTTTTATCCTGCCTCAAACAGAATTGTGAAAGTGAGCTGAGACTTGGGTCTTCTCCATCATGGAACCCTCACCTTCCCCTTTTTAGATCAAATTCATTCAGACCTTTAAAAAAGTGATTTGGGGCCTGACAAGGAAATTTGGTGGGTGGAGAGCAGTGCCCAGTCCTGACAGCTTCAGGCAATCCTTGGATTTCATGGTGTGGCAAGAGAGAAGCAACTCCTGAGAGTGTTGTCCTTCCATCCACACACCCGTCCTTACACACATGTACCCCACAAACACATTACTAACTTATTAATTTTAAAATTAGTTTGGAAACATTAAGAACTATCGAATGTAATTTCATTGAGTTTCTAACACAATTTTTTTTTCAAGTTTTACTTCATCTTTACTTTTAGAATTTGAAACTCACCCACATAGAAAGACAAGCAAATGGGGGAAAAAACTGCCCTAGTTCTACAATTTATACTTAACCAGGTTCTGCCAAAGCAGAATAAATATATGTGTTCAGACTCAGTGTTCCAGTTGTGGTAAAGGAAAGGGTTTGTTTCTTTGTACGCTTCCAGGTAATAGCCATCACTGAGGGGAGTCAGGGCAGGTGAGAAAGGGACAGAGGCACAGGCCACAGAGGCAGGGTGCTGACTGGCTTTGTTTAGCCTGCTTTCATATACTATTGAAGGCCATCCCATCCTTCCAGGGTCAGCCCAGGGGCGGACCACCCACAGCTGGCCGGCCCCTCCCCTATCAACAACTGCTCAGGAAAATGTCTTGCCTTTGGGACAGCGGGACAGCATCATAAAAGAATTTTCTCAGTTGAGTGTCCCTCTTCCCAGGCTGGCTTGTGTCGGGTCGATAACCACAACAAACAAACAAAACCTCGCCAGTGGTATCCGTAGACATTGGTACAGCATTGGAAACATGGGGTGCCGTTACATGGTACACAGATGGAAGGAATGGGGGGGGGGCTCCTGCCGGTGTTTGAATCCTGCCACTACCACCTACTTTCAGGCTTACTCAAGAAGTGATTTAGCCTCTACACATTCCAGTTTTCCCTGCCATCTAGTGGAAATAATGACAGTATATATATATATATATATATATATATATATACACACACATAATATTTCTACATTGTGGTGTGTGCATGTGTGGGTGTGTATGAACATATATATATATATATATATATATATATATATATATATATATATATATATATTCCAACATTGTGGTGTATACCTGTGTGTGTGTGCTCCCATGTTTACGTGTGGCATATGTACCTGAGTGAGCAGCTGCATGTGTCCCTGCGCACGCAGCTGGAAGGCAGAGCAAGGCCTGCTGTCCAGCGTCTGTCTGTATTACTCTCTGTCTTATTCTTTTGAGACAGTCTCTCACTGACCCGGCGGTTCACAAGTTCCACTGGGCTAGCTGGCCAGTGAGCTCCTGGGGTCTTTCTGGATGTGCAAGGCGTACCAGTCACGTCCAGCTCTTGATGTGGGTGCCGGGAATTTGACTTGATGCCCTCGTGCTTGCTGAACGAGCACTCTTGCCCACAGAGCCATCTCTTCAGGCCTGCACCTTGTTTTAATTGCTACCGAGCAGTCTAACTTTGTAATAACATATCAATCTGCCTTTGGCTTAGGCAGATAAAGTTATTTTGGCATTTGTTTATCGCCGTGGCCAACCATTCCCACACATCCCAGTCGCTTTATCTGTATTTGAGGAACGAGATTCTCTGGCTGGAAGTAGAAGCCGACTCACAGCTTTACAAAGCCAGAGCCGTCTCCCAGGGGGACTGTGTGAGTAGATGCATAGTGCGTGCTCACCCTCCCACCCCCAGCTCTGCACAAGTGGGAAATTATCGTCAAAACTAATTTGAATGAATCTTATTGGAGTAAAATGACAATTTCCAAAATCATTACTAATGTGTAATGGGTCTTATGCAAAAGCTTGCACACCATTTATGAATTACAGTTGTTATCTATCTTGACTGCCATGGTTTCTCGTGGGAGAATTTGTACCTATTCATCAAGCTTGAATAGCAATTTAAATAAAATAAGATATGTCGGTGGCTTTTATTTAAACATTTCAATTCTATAATTAGGCTTCGGGGATTGTTTGGGGAAATAGAAGTCTATTCATAAAGACAGAAATTGTCCTAACCCAAGTATTCTCAGTGATGTGACAAGTCCAACGTCTCTCTAGTCACTAAATTGTGAGGGGAAGAATTCTCTAGGCTGTCACAAATGACAAGAAACATCCAAAGGGATTTAGTCCTGAGCTTGTATTTGTGTTAAGGGTAAACTTAGTTATAAAGGGAAATACACGTGTGGGGGTGTTTGTTTGACTGGTTGGTTGGTTGATATTTGTGTGTGTGTGTTTAGTTTTATTTCTGTGTGTGTACTTTCAAACATGAATTACAATTTGCATGATCTTTGTTTGTGTTTTAGTAAACACAATTGCCCGGCTTTGAGCATTGGATTAATTCTCAGAATAATTAATATTTGAATTAGCTTATCTTACATCACTTAGAGCTTTGCCTGGGTATGACGTATGGAAATTCCGCGCTGTCTTGTCAGTGAGCCTTCCAACCCACTCCATCCTTATGGGAAGGTTAACGATTTAATCCAACCATCGGGAAGTGACTGGGTATAAAGCCACAAAAACTTGGACATGGAGCTCACGCTCACTATATTCCATTCAGGATAACAGCATGCTTTTCTGAAGTGTCCAGCTTACCCCAGCTTTCACTGTTGGGTGAAAATATCCCCTTGCTGAGGAGGAGCAGCAGACTTACTCGGGAATACACTGAGTCCTCACCCTGATAATCACACAACCCGTGGTGCAAACTGAAGAGCGTGTGAGAATAAAGCGACTTCAGTTACTTCCTGTTATGAAACCACAGGAAGGAAGGAAGGAAGGAAGGAAGGAAGGAAGGAAGGAAGGAAGGAAGCCCAGACAGTCACTATCTGTATAACCTGCCTATAATCTCAGGCTAGGTCCCTGCACTTAGAAAGGTGGACAGACAGAGACAGAGAGAGAGAAACAAACACACAGAGATAGAAACAAAGACAGAGATCCAAAGAGCCAAAAACAAAGGCAGAGACACACAGAGACAGACAGACAGACTGACACACAGAGACAGAAACAAAGACAGAGAGACAGAGAGGCAGGGAGACAGAAAGGGAGAAAAGGAGAGGAAGTGAGTGAATTATTCTGAAGCACATGAGTCAGTAGAAAATGGTGCTTTCCTTTATGAAAGAAATGTCAAAATGGCAATCTCTGAGAAGGCCACAAAATTAGTCATTGACATGGGTTGCTCTTCCCATCTCATTCTAAAAAAAAAAAAAAAAAAGTTTTTCAACTTAGGCACACTAAAAGGTCATAACACCTGTTTATATCTTAGTCTGGCATTACCTGTGGCTTTATGACGTGAAGAAATAGCAAGTCAAGAAAGCAGTGGCAAGCTGGGTTTGGCTTCCTTTTTGTTCTGTCTGTTCGCTTTCCTGTTGGAACGCTGTGGTTTTCTTTTCAGAGCAGCTGAGCGGGGACACGGTGGAAGTGTGGATTGGTCTGAACCAGCTGGACGAAGAGGCCGGCTGGCAGTGGTCTGATGGAACGCCGCTCAGCTACCTGAACTGGAGCCCAGGTAGCTGCGACACCTTCTTTGCCTTCAACATGCTGGGGTATGCTGCAGACTTAGATGCAGCAGTCCCAGAAAAAGATCTTATTCTGAGAGCAGATAATTTCTTTTTCCTTGGGTCAGGGTCTCCCGTGTTATCCACGCAAGTCTAGAGCTCTCAGTCCTCCTGCCTTGACCTCTCGAGTACTGGAACGGCAGGTGTAGGCCACCACGCTTGGTGGGTTATACTGTTTTATCCTTACTCACTTCCTACAAGGCGAGCTTTGCAGAGGGCGGAAGTCAGAAAGATAATCCATTTAGCTAACATTGTGGGGATTTGGGGGGTCAGAGATGGACTGCTGTTTTCAAAATAGCAACAAAACTGCAAAATACTCCTCTCCTTTAAAACACCGGAAGTGGCTCTCTAGCTGTCCTTGGAAGATCAGTTCATCACCTTAGACTTGAACTTCAAGGTCACAGCTAATCATGACAAATATCCCGTAGGGGTCGCTAACAGAGGCAAAGAGAAGGGTTACCCTCTGTGCGGAAACTACATTTCTGTGTATATTGATTTTTCAGAGATACATGCTGGGCCGTTTGTTGAGTATCGTTGCGGAACGCTGAAACGTGCCTCAGCTGCCTGGAGGAGCAGGGACTGTGAGTCGCCCTTGCCTTATGTATGCAAACGGCATCTAAACCGCACTGCCCAGGACAGTTTTGGTAAGTGCTCCTACAAACCTTCTGTGGTCGTTGACAGGTCCCCTTGATGCATTGAAATCTCTCTACTTCGGTTAATAATTCATAATTATGACTTGGCAGAATCAGAGTTATGGCTACATAAATAAAAATATATGTGACCCTAAAGCCATCCTAAAGTACCAAGGCGACGACAAATGCATTTACTCAAAACTAGAACAAAACAACATGAGTCGAGCAAATGTTTCTGTCCTTTCTCTCAAAAGAGTTTCACTCTTTATCATTCTACATTAGAAAAACAAAGTATGCATATATATATATATATATATATATTCAGTATACATATATTGAATTTTATTTGTGGGATTCCTTAAACTTAAAGGTAAAAGAAAATAATTTAGAGCCAGGCCCCATGGTGAACACCTGTAATCCCAGCACTTGGGAGGCAGAGGCAGGCATATCTCTTTGAGCGTGAGGCCACCCTGGTCTACAAAGCAAGTCCAGGACAGCTAAGGCTATGCAGAGAAACCCTGTCTTGAAAAAACAATCAAACAGTACTTTTATGATGATCTTTTCCTTTTTGTTCACCTTTTAACATAATAATTGTACATAATCATAGGGTATAATGTGTTTTGCGATTATCAGCATATCCATTACTTGAAACATTATCCTTTCTTTGTGGTGAGAGTATTCAGACTCCTCCCTTCAGGCTGTTTCAACATTGTACTGTTTAAACACTGGGCACCCGGTATGCAGCAGAATTCCAGCCCTCCACCTTAGGATTTCACGAGGTTTCTACCACATTTCAAATTCCATCTTAGTAGCGTACTCTCCCCCTTCAAACAATGAACAAGAGCTGGGCTATGTGTAAGACAAAGAACACCCAGCTATGACCTAGTATAATACAAGCCTGTCCAACTCTGTCATCTTCACTATTTTTATTCATCTGCATGTATGAGGGAGTGTGTGCATGGCTTGTGTGTCAACAGTGTCCAAGCTGTATGGGTGATGTGGATGGGCACGTGCCCGTGTGAGCATACTGAGGCCAGAGGAGAACGTCAGCTTCCTGCTCTATCACTCTCTGCTTTGTTCTCTTCAGACAGGCTCCTGTATGGAACTCGGAGATAGATGGGCAGCCAGCAAGCTTTGGCAATCCTCTCCCTGCAGTGCCTTCCCATGTTAGAATTATAAACACACACACACACACACACACACACACACACACACACATGACCACATACACACACACACACATATGACCACACCTGGCTTTCTAACACACACACACACACACACACACACACACACACACACACACGACCACACCTGCTTTTTACGCAGACTCTAGGGATTTGAACTTGGATACTCAGGCTTGTGCAGCAAGCACTCTTACTCTTTGAGACATCTTCCCAGCCCTAATTACATCTATTTCTAAGGTCTGTTACCTCATTTAGTTTCTGTGGGAGTTGCTATCTTAAACTCAAAAGCCAAAATTAACAACAAAGCCAGTTTTTAAAGAATCATTACAAGAATAATTAGAAACAGCTCTAGATTTTAAAATACACTGCATCGTAATTTGTAAATACGGCCTCTTTCGCTTGGGCTCTCACTGTTATTTTCCCTGTAATGGCAGCTGCCCCTGGCAGTGTTGAAAAACTGGGCATAGTGTGAGGGAGGGAAGAAGGAGCTGGTCTTATTTTTTATGTAGCGGTTTTTTCCATTATTTTAAGTTTTTGCTAGAATTGCTTCTGGCTGTTAAGGTTGTTTCCTTTCTGTTTTGTTCCTTTATTTCTTCTCTCATCATCCATTTTTGTTCTCTCTCTCTCTCCCCCTCTCTCTCCTGTCACCTTTGTTTTCTTGTTTGACTTGTTAGTCCCATCAATAGATCTAGTTAATAAATTGGTCTTAAGGGTTTCTGAGCTGCTGGGGATCTTTTTTGGCTAAATGCCTCTGACATGAACTGATTGGCCTGCTCTTTGATCACCTCCCCCTGAGGGGGGAGCAGCCTTACCAGGCCACAGAGGAAGACAGTGCAGCCATTACTGAGGAGATCTGATAGACTAGGGTCAGAAGAAAGGAGAGGAAGACCTCCCCTATCAGTGGACTTAGGGAGGGGCATGAGTGGAGAAGGGGGAGGGATGGTGGGATGGGAGGGGAGGAGAGAGGGGTTTATGGGGGGATACAAAGTGAATAAAGTGTAATTAATAAAAATTAAAATAAAAAATATTTTAAAAAAATTTCAATGTGCTTGTGGGGAACAGAATCGATAAATGTTCAAAAGTACCTGTTGTTCATTCGAATCAGGTTAAGTATTCTATGATCTCATCAGGGAAAACTTGCAAGCCTACTTCCAGGTCCTGAACGCTCAGCCCCTCACTGTCCCCACTCCGGCTCTCAGTAATCCAGCATCGAGTAGCCTCTCCCCATCCCAGCCTTTCACTCCCATCACTCTCGTCCAACATCTACAAAATCACGACAAGTTACAATCGTGAAATCAAAATCTATGAAAAAGTCTTTACGTTCCACATGTGAATGAGAATTATGGCCCATGTCTTCTGCAGCTGGCTTAATTTACCAGACACAACGATCCAGCTCATCCATGGTGTCCAAATGACAGGATTTCACACCTGGCGGCTAAACAATATTCCATTAATATATCGGGCAAGATGTAAACATGTCGCATATTTTATTCATTTGTTAGCTGAGTGACGCTTAGGTTGTTTCTGTTCTTGATTACGGTAAATAACATGATGTCACCGCTCTAGAGGAGGTGGGACCTGGGGAGCAGAGTTGATAAATGAGTTAGACCAAAGTCTCAGGCAATAGCCGACTTAGTCAAAGCAACAGACAATTCATCCTCTGGGGCTTAAGAAAGGTCACCCGGAAAAAAAGTTCTCATGAGTTAAGCTGTATATAATCACAAAGACAAGCAAGCCATACGTAGCAAAGGCATATAAAGGATCCTTTAAACATTTAAGTGAATAACATCAGCAAGCAATAATGACGAATATGAAGTAAACTCCCTCCCTCCGCTACTCCCGAGAGGAGCAGGAAAACACAGTCCAAGAACAACTCCGTGTTTTGGGGAAACTGAGGTCACAAGACTGTTGTCTTTGTTTCCTTGGTGCTTTCTGACAAGCGTTCAAAAATTTTCCTGGGCACGGCGGCACACACATGTAATCCCAGTACTCAGGGAGGCAGAGGCAGGCAGATCTCTGTGAGTTCAAGGCCAGCCTGGTCCACAAAAAGAGTCCAGGACAGCCAAAGCTACACAGAAAAACCCTGTCTCAAAAAAGAAAAGAAAAGAAAAAAATCCTCCTCATACAACTTTTTCAGACCATGTTTCAACGATGCTACAATGAACATAGAAATGCAGATGTTCTTTTGAAATACTAATATCATTTCATATCTATACATATGTACACATATGTATATGCATATATGTATACACATGTGAAATGAAATTAGTATGCATATTCAATATATATTCAGTAGTAGTCAGATTGCTGGATTAGATGGTAGTTTTTAAGGTTTTCTTCGAGTTCCTGATAGTTTTCCATAATGGCTGCACTACTTCACATTCTCAGCAATGTGTGAGGCTCTCTTTTCCCCACAACCCGTTTGGTACGTATCATCTTTAGTCTTTCTGACAATAGCCATTCTTCCTGGGATGAGGTAATATTTTATTGTTTGAGGAGTCTTTTCCAAATGAATAGTGATATTGAACATCTTTTATACCTGTTGCCTATTTGTATGCCCTAGAACTCATTCTGTAGACCAGGTTGACCTTGAACACACAGAGATCCACCTACCTCTGTCTCCCGAGTGCTGGAATTAAAGGCGAGAGTCACCACTCCCGCCCAGCAGACCTACTTTTGATGTGTTGTATCCTGCAACTTTGAATTAATTTATTATTTCTAGTAGTTTTCTGTGGGGTTGGAGTGTCTCTGTATAAGATGATGACATCTACACACAATGACAGGTTTGAATGCTTTTTACCAATTTGAATGCTCTTCCTTTCCTTCTTTTGCCTGATTGCTCTGGTGAGGCCTCCAGGACAAAGCAGTGAGAGTGGGCATCCTGGTGATACCCCCTGGGGTCGCTAATGTTTTACTCTGGAGGGTTGTCCCCCAGGTGCAGTGAAGAGTGAGGAAAGCAGGAATACAGGCATCTTCACACTCAAGACTTTTTGAATATTGTCTCAGTTCCTTTTCTACCCTGTGACACAAGACCGTGACCAAGGCAACTTATAAAACAAAGCATTTAATTAGGCTTACAGTCAGAGGGTTTGAGCCTATGATGGCACAGCAAAGATGTGGTGGCAGGAACAGCTGACAGCTCTTGATCCACAAGTAGGAAGAACAGAGGGCACACTGAGAATAATAAGAGGCTTGTGAAACCTCAGAGCCCACCCCTAATGACACACCTCCTCTAACAAAGCCACACCTCCTAATCCTTCCCCAACAGTTCCACCAACTGGAGACCAAGCATTCAAATGTATGAGCCCATGGAGGTCGTTCTCATCCAAACCTCCTCAGTGTTAGTGGGCCTGCTGGAGGGATGGTGTGGTGGGTATCACCTTCTAAACCTCAGAATTTTCAGACTGTACCCCAGTAAGTAACAGATAGGTGGCTTCAGAGCTCCGAGCTATCAACTGCCAGGCTTATTCTCGGTTTATGAGCTGTTCCTTTTATTTTTATTTTACCTCGACTTTCTTCGTCACCAGCTTTCACAGAGGTAGCCTTTAGTCCACCATCTTACCCAAAAGTGCTGATGTCCTCCTTTCCATCTCTGGTTTCACCTGAGTCTTTTTGTTGTTGTTGTTCTGAGTTCTAGTTAAGGGTTTGTCTCTTGTGTTTGATGAACTCTAGTTCACTGTTTCAGTGACCTTTTGTGATTTTTTAATGTCATTTCATTCGTTTTTTCCTCTGATCTTCATTATTTCTTTCCCTCTGTTAGTTTGGAGTTTGGTTTGTTCTTGGTTTTCTGACGCCTGGAGATGGAGCAGGGGAATGGGCCCAGTGCTGAGCTGTTTGAGTCTTCTCTCTCTTTCACGAGTTTCACTCATGCCAGGTTTGCTTTTGCCCATTAATTTTGGCATGTTATATCTCTATCTGCACCTGTTTCAAAAGATTTTTTTTTAATTTCTTCTCGACTTATTCCTTGATCTATTGACTATTCAAAAGTAAATAGTTTAATTTCTGTGTGTTAGCATAGCTTCCTCTTTCTTGGTTCTGAATTCTAGTTTTATCGCATTGCGTTGAAATAAAAAATAGTTGATGTGATTTCGGTTGTCCATTTGTTGAGGCTTGTCTTGTGGCCAAGCACATTATTCATCACAGAGAATAACTTTTATGCTGATGAGGAAAAACGTGAAGTAGGCAGCGGTCGGAATCTTCTGTCGATGTCTGTAGGGACAACTGGCCAGGGGAGCAATTTGACCCTGCAGTTACTTGGTTCCTTTACTGTGTGGGCGCTGTGTGTGTCACTAAATATGAGGTACAGATTCCCAACCACTACTGTAGTGGAGTCTCTCTCTTCCTTTAAGCCCGCTAATATTTGCTTGTGTGGTTTTTTTTTTTCAAGCTTAATGAGCTTCTATAACGTGGCTGTTTTAAACTCTATGGAAGCTCTCCCAGACTGGTCACTAGCTAGTCCGCTTCTAGAACCTTTTTTTGACGCTAGATGCAGTCCCAATATTTGTTGTCATGCAGCAGCAGGACCGGCTGTTTATCTTGCTTTTCCTGATATGGTTTGGCTTGCACCCCTCTTTCTAGAAATGTTAATCTGGATGCTTGTTTCCTCTGAACCATTAGTCACGTGATAATTCCCAAATCCAGTTTGCTAAGACCTTCATATTGATACACTGTCACTCTTATCAGGCAGCAATCCAAGCCAGCTTTTACCCAAATGTAGTTAGTATGTTGTTCAGAAAGCGCTAAGAGAGTATTTAGGGAGAGAAGCCTTCACCTGGCGCCTGGATAAATGCAGATACATCAACTTACTAACACCCCCCGCCCCCATCACACACTGAAAGATTCTGCCTGGTCCTAGGAAGAGTCCTGGGAAGAATTATCAGGGATGGACTAAGTCATACCCACGGCCATCAGGCTATGCTCCAGTACAAAGCTCTGGGCTAGCTTTCACCCCCTGCTCTCTAGCAGACGGAGTCCTGATCTCTGCCTTGCCTCCTGAAGTTGAAAGGCAGTATTGGCTACAGCCAGCTTCCTGGCCAAACGCAAGACTCGGGCCCACGGTTAATAGCTTTGACAGGAGTTGCAGGGCTCTGCCTAGCCCTGAGTTTCACCAGGGGAGGTCTGGTGCTGGGTCTCAGGTCTAAGACCATTTAATTCTATCTTCCTTCCCTACGTTAGAGGAGCCTGCGCTGTGCTGCTCGGAAGCGGAAAGGGTGAAAGGGATGGTACAGGGTCCCTTCCTTCCTGCTTTCTTCACTGCCTCCTCATTTTGTTTTAGTAAACAGAGCCTCTCTAGTACCTCCTCTGCTATCCTTAGCTCTTCTGAAGAAGTCTGGTGAAAAGCAAGGAAGAGGTTGTATTTCTTTTTATTCCTGGATAGTGGAAACTGAACCACAGCTGGTATATGTATCAAGCCCTCTACCAGCCCTCAACACCCTCCCAACTCACCCTCTCAGGCTCAGCCTCTCAGGACCTAACCACTCCTGCCATCTCAGAGACTCCTCTTTCATCACCTTCCTTACCTCGAGAGTGAAGTTTAGAGTAACAGTTTCTTTGTTCATTTGTTTTGTTTAGGTTGTCAACCATTGACCATATCTAAATGATCTAACATATTTTTACTATGATTATTCAATCGATGTCAGTGTCCTAAAAGTTAATTTGAAAGAATGAATTATTTCTCAAAAAGTAAAAACGAACTGAACTAGCTCCTAAGGGAGACACTTGCTAACAAGTAGTAAGATATCCCCCAAATGCAATCAGAAGTCAGGAACAAGCTCCCCCCAAAATGAGAGCTGACCACCTGACTTGCACACCACCACCGTCTCCTCACGTGTCTAAAGCCTCGTGGCAACTGACCCTGGGAAACCTCAACCGGAGTTCACCAGTGTGACACCAGAGAGCACAGGGGCCCCCAAGGGAACAATAAAGGAAGCCTGCATCATCTGTTCTAAAGGGAGTGAGCAGAATTTTAGGTTCTTTTAACTCGAGGATAAGTATCTGCTCTGCCAACCTAGCCGCTGTGAAATCCTTGGAATACCACTTATGGTCCATAACAGCCCTTTTACAATGTAAAAACATTTTCAAGTGGACACATCTGCTACATCCTCCCCTGTTTGTGTGTGTGTGTGCTCAATGCTTGTCTAGCCCAGAAAAGAACTCCAGATCCTCTGGAACTGGAGTTAAAGATGATTGTAAGCCACCTTGTGGGTGCTAGGAGTCAATCTTGTGTCTTACTTTCTGAAAGTAATCATTTCTAATGGCAATTTATATGAAGGGCGTTAATTAATATTGGAAGTAATTGTGCAAATGGTATTCTTTGTGTTGCTTTATAAAGAAAAGGACTCCTGGAAATACCATGCCACGCACTGTGATCCTGACTGGACGCCCTTCAATCATAAGTGCTACAAACTTCAGAAAGAAGAAAAGAGCTGGCACGAGGCTCTGCATTCTTGCCAGTCTAATGACAGTGTGTTGATGGACGTGTCTTCATTAGCAGAGGTGGAGTTTTTTTTAAACCTCCTTGGGGATGGTGAGTACCAAACCTTTTGTTTTAAGACCTATGAAATAGTATGTTACTACTTTTTAATTAGAGTTTTAAAGAAACTAATTAAACTATTTAAAAGTGATTATTTATGGTATATAGAATAATACATATGTGAATATATATGGGATATATATTCATATAAATATATATATTCAAAGTTTCTAAAATATAACCATAAACACAATTCACTGGATTTCTATAAATCATATATTCAGAAGCTATTTAATATATTCACATTTGCCAAATAGATTTTATTCATCCATTTATTTATTTATTTAAATCTTAAGTGGTGGGGGCAAGCCTAACTGATGCATCTACAATCCAGCTGGTGCACCTAAGGCCTAGGAAAATTGATGGAAGAGAGAACAGGAAGACCAGGATGATTACTGTGAGATAGTAATCTAGACACGATAAGGAAGTGGTACCCAGGAAATCTTAACAGTACAGTAGACTAACCAAGACCTGAATAATGACAGCATCAGTTGACATGCCAGCGTAGATAAGGGGGATCTCATGGGGCCCTACCCCTAAATGAAGAGCTAACATCAACTAATGGCTACAGAAAGAGGAAGAATCGGTTTTCTCTAGGGATGAGCCCTGATAGGTTATTTAGTCCCAAGTGGTCAGCCCTAAATACATGGACATATGAGCAACACTAAATGGAGTCAATATATTATATACATATGTATGTAACAAAATAAGGAAAGAAGAGAAATAGTGAATTTGAGGAGTACAGTGGGACACAGAAAAGAGGGAGAGGAAGGGGTAAAAATGATGTAAACATAAAACACATTAAATTCTTAAAAAAATAAAAAATTAAACTAAAAATAATCTTAAGGGGTAAAAGTCATAAAAGTCATTCCTGAGAACGTCTATACAAGGCCTAAATCAGTAAGTCAGCCTTAAGGCCACTGGATAGCCACAGAGCTCCCCTAAAGGTAATTACTTAGGTAAATAAGTTAAGTAACTTTATTTGGCCTGGTGGTTTTCAGGCTGTGTGTCACACTGAGAGGCTCCAGGCTCCTGGGTCTCCTATCCTGTTTTTCAGAGCAAATGTTCATCCTACCCCATGTCGTATATTAGACACGGAATCTTCCTAAAAATCCTGGAAATCAGTGGTTTCATTTTCCAACGTTTAAGAATAAAAACCAAAAATCAAAAATATCCATAGGCTCTAGTTGGTGACCTTTGCAATGTTGTATTTTCGTCTGCAAACACAGATACTTCTATGTCATTTTCCCTAATCCTTTGCCTTTGGGATTAAAAGAATCCTGCAGCGTCCTCTGTATCAACAAGGACACTCAACCGCCTCTCTGCTACCTAATATTTCTCACCGAATCGTGGTTGTCAGCTTTGTTTGTATTTCTGAGAACTGTACTGTTCTGTGTGAACGCCCGGGAGAGTTTCTGCTTGCTTTATTGTGTGGGTCTCAGTGGGAGCAAGAGAAGGAAAACATTCAAGTTACACTACGGTTAAAAGAGGTCTGGAGGAGGAGGAGAAGGTGGTGGTGGTGGTGGTCGTGTTTTTAATGTTTCCCTTTCAAAATCCAATTAACCTCTTCATTTTCCTTTTCTCTCTGCAAAAGCAAAACTAAGTATTTCAGGTCCTTTTCCATAGTGGAGGAGCCCGACATTCTGGGGCCGCGAAGCTCTGACTTGCTCTTGACGGTGCTTGCTTTGGATTTAGTTTATGTTCTGCCTCCCTTGCACCTATATTGAGCAAACCTAGATATTACGGGAGGGAAGAGGTTTAGACAGGTATACTAAGATTCAAACAAGATTTATTACCTGGAGAAATCAAGACAATCAATCTGGGCATGACGTCGGCTCACACCTTCAATCCAGCACTCAGGGAGGCAAAGGCAGGCAGATTGTTGTGAGTTCAAGGCCAGCCTACTCTACAAAACAAGTCCAGGACAGCCAAGGCTACACAGAGAAACCCTGTCTTGAAAAAAAACAAACAAAAAGGATATAGCTTACTAATAACCTGCGTATGCCCTAAAAATAAACAAATAATATCTTATAAATAATTTCTACTTATTTCTTACAGAAAATGCATCAGAAACATGGATTGGTTTGAGTAGCAATAAAATTCCAGTTTCCTTTGGGTGGTCCAGTGGATCCTCCGTCACCTTCACTAACTGGCATGCTCTTGAGCCTCGAGCTTTGCCAAACGGAAGAGAACTGTGTGTCTCAGCAGAGCAACCTGTAAGTTGATTCGTTTGATCAGTGATCAGTTTTGTGGCTCTGATACTGAGGACCACCTAGACCGGGGGCTTATGTCATGGTGGAGACCAAAAGAGGCAGTTCCTGCTCTTCACGGTGTTTCCATGTCAGTTACAGACCACATGGTAACAGCTATGGTCATTTGAGGAAAGAGGGACAAAGCTAGGGAGGAGTGGAAGCTTCAGACAGGACAGGGGTGGCAAGCCTCTCTGAACAGATGGTGTTTAAGATACAACTTCAAAAAGAACCAAAACCCTTGCACAGCGGAGGAAGATCATTCTGAGAAAAACACAAAGGTAGGCAAAGATCTAGAGAGATTGCTGCCACTTCCTCCCCAAATGTCATGAAGACACACATTGGCCTGAAGATTAGTGAAAATCTGTTATCTTCAGTAGCCAAACACGACTAGTGATAGGAGGTGATGGGACATAGGACAAGGGACATACAAAAATAGCAGCTTATATACCAAGGTATAGGGGCCGATGGAGGGCCTCAAGGACACAGTGGGGAAATCTGACTTGAAAAATAACCATGATCATAACATACGGGATATATTAGAGAGGAAAGAATAGAAGCTGGAAAACAATTTGGTGGCAATTCCATGGTTGCCTTAAGATGGTGACTAGGAGAAAAGACACATGATGTTTTAGATAACAAGACTCATTGCTAAGGAAATTGGATGTGGAGAGTCAGAGACTTTTTTTTTTAACTTGAATGAACACCATTTTTGCAGGCAGTGGGGTAGAGCATCCTGGTGAAGAGATGGGGAAGATGAAGGTGGGGGGGTAAACTGGAAAGTGATAGTTTTGAAGCTCCGTTAGCTTATGAACATGAAAACATCGCACAGGATGTGGAACCTCCTTGGAGGCCATGGATTGATGGCAAACCTCGTTCTCGCATGAGTGCAATAGAGCCGGTGACCTTAGCATCGAGTAGACTTGTGTTCCCATCTCCCATTTATCTGAGACATCAGATTTGTCAGAATTAGTTTAAGTCCAAAAACATCTGAACAGTTTATTAAACATTTTAAACAGATATCCTCCCTTTGCTCAAACAGCTGCTGAGAGCACTGGCTGAGTCCCAGGAGGCTTTGATGGGTGTCCTCATTCTTTCTAGCCACCGGATGCTTCCTCAAGTTCCTCTAAGAAACAACTCATCAGATGCTACTTAAGCAACTTGACAAAGCAATTGCAGCAACCAAACCCTGAGCATTTGCAAAGCACTTCCTTGTGTGACATGTTTCACTTTCGTATCTTTTGAGACCCCCAGAAACATGCGCTTTTGTAATTACACGCCCTACCAACGTCTGTCTGGGTGGCATCTGGGGAGGAAGCGGCAGCCATCTCCTTAGACGTCTGTCATGGATCTAGCCCTGCTGAAACCTGGCACCGTTACAGGCATTGACGGTGTCTGAGGCACTGCTCTTGATATAATTAAGATGACCTTCATTTCCTATTGCCTGGCGTGTGATTATTTCACTTACCGTATTTATAGAAGGAAAGCTAACATTTGGACAGGGATTGCTTTAATTAGCGTATATTCACTGTACATAGTAATGGGTTTGTAATGACATTTTTATTCAAGCATATCACCTGCTTTGACCATATTCAGACCCATTACCCTGTAGTCCTCCTTCCTGTCCTCTCCCTCTTCCCCAACAGTCCCCCATTTTGTGTGTGTGTGAGAGAGTTGTGTGTGTATGTGTGAGTATGTCTAAAACCAAGGTTCCACATAGGAGAGAAACATAGGATAGTTGTCTTCATGTCTGACTTATTTTAATTGTGCTCTCTAACTCCTGAATAGGGGTTAATTTTAAGAAAACCAGGACAGATATTGATATCTGTGCTGCTTGGTTTTTATGGCAGCCTGACATAAGCTGGAGTCATCCGAGATGGGGGAACCTCAATTGAGAAAACGCCTCCATAAGATCAGGCTGTAGGCAAGCCTATAGGACATTTTCCTAGGTTATGACTGATGGAGAGGACCTAGCCCATGGTGGGTGGGGCCAGCCCTGGGCTGGTGGTCCTGGGCTCTGTAAGAAAGATGGCTGAGCAAGCCATGGAGAGCAAGCAGCACCCCTCCATGGCCTCTGCAGTAGTTCTTGCCCCCAGGTTCCTGCCCTTTTTAGTTCCTGTACTGACTTCCTTTGATGATGAACTGTGATGTGGAAGTGTAAGCAAAATAAACCCTTTCCTCCTCAAATTGCTTTTGGTCATGGTGTTCCATCACAGTGATAGTAACCCTAACTAAGACAATATTGTTGCATGGGTCAGAACAATGAAGCTCTGGGAGGTTTTGTAGTACCTCTCTTTTGGCAGCTCACAGACTCCTCAAACTGTAAGTATAGGGAACACTGAAATTAACCTTTACTTCCATCAAGTAGATCGCAGTACGAATATAATAGTTCTCCACGACTAAATAATCATTACCACTAACTGTACTTAAATCTAGCTAACACCTAAATCTGAAGGTGAGAGCTATTCATTCACACATCCTGCCAACAGCTACGAAGCACTTGTAGTGTGCCTGACACCGTCCTGTAGCGTGATGATTTTCTGGCAGATTCCACGGGGAGAGGCACAGAGCTGCTCTTACCGCTAAAGACGTCACCCTTGACATAGTATTTCCCTGAAGGCCATTAAAGGACTCCGAGTCCCGCTGAACAACCAAAACACCACCTGAAATTTGAGCGGAGTGGTTTTCATCTAAGGGTCTGTTTTGAGTTAAGATTGCAGGTCATCTGGGAAAATACTGCTTTGGTGGCTTCGCTGTTTTTTTCATTAGCAGTAAAGGGTCTAAGAGAAGCTCTAGGCCAGTGGGTCTCAATCTTCCTAATGCTGAATTCCTCTAGTACAGTCCTCATGCTGTGGAGACCGCCTGCCATAACATTGTTTTTGTTTCTACTTCATGGTTGTAGTTTTACTACTGCTATAAATCCTAATATAAATATCTGATATGCAGGATATCTGCTATGTAACTCCCAAAGGGGTCATGATCCACAGGTTGAGAAGCACTGTTTTAGGCAGAAGTAAGACAAGACCTAAAGGAGTCTGTATATAAAGAGAAAGCTGGGGCTGGGGAGATGCCTCAGCGGGCTAAAGTACTTACTCAGCAGGCATGAGGACCTGTGTGTGGGTCTCTAACATACATGTAAAACCTAGATATGGCACCATGTCTGTAACCTCAGCGATGGGGAGGCGGGAAGACACAGGGAGATCCCTGGTGCTCACTGGCAAGCCAGCCTAGCCAACTGGTCAGCTCCAGGTTCAGTGAGAGATGCTGTCTCAAAAAATAAGGTGGAGAGCCACTGAGAACGAACTCAACTTAATGTCAACTTCTAGTTCACACACACACACACACACACAGATGTGCACATGTACACACCCCCATATATACATATCTGCATACACATGAGCATGTGCATTCAGCACACACAAGAAAGAAAGAAAGAAAGAAAGAAAGAAAGAAAGAAAGAAAGAAAGAAAGAAAGAAGAAAGGAAGGAAGGAAGGAAGGAAGGAAGGAAGGAAGGAAGGAAGGAAGGAAGGAAGGAAGGAAGGAGAGAAAGAGAAGGAGGGAGAGGGGGAGGAAGGGAGGGAGGGAAGGGAAGTCGAGTATGGGCATGTCTATAATCCTAGGAAGGTTGCCATGCTAAAGCAAATCTAGGCTGTGTAGTGAGCTCTAGGCCAGCCTGGAACTGTGTAGTGAGACCCACTCTCAAAAAATTATATAAAAAAATTTTTGATTAATTACAGAGAAAGCTGAATGAGGAAGGACACTGGAGTTGAACATGAATTTTGACCCTCAGCAGCAACCAAATTCCTTCCTCACTCAGATCCACCGGGCTTTGGACAGCACTCGGGGAACTCCCGCAGGGTCAAGGGCATCTATCAGACCTTTGCACCACCAGGCAGAGTTCTAGAACACCACCCCTCTGGGAACGCTATCTAGTCACAGCTCGGCTCATGACTGACTAACGTTGCTGCTCACCAGCATCCTTACAGAGTCCCCTCATTCATCCTGTGACTCTTCTCCCCTTAGGATGGGCGCTGGAAGGTGAAAGGCTGTGAAGAAACACTCTTTTACGTCTGCAAAAGAGAGGGGCAAGTCCTCGCTGACGGGGACTCAGGATGCAAAGAGGTGAGTTTGTTGAATACCGCCCTGGGGCACTGCAGAACTAGAAGAATGTGACCACCGCGGGGTACAGCAGCAGCCCCTTCTGAGTGAGAATCTCCCCCTCACCAGTCAGATTTCAGCTGGGGGCAGAAGAACGCTTTTCAGCCCTCAGAAGGAGGATACGTCTTTGACCCCAGAACTACCTTTTTAAAAAGGTAAAAATGTAAACGATCCCAGTTTTCCTTCTGTAACACCCCTCCTCCCATGGCGATCACGTGACATGCCTCCTAGCGAGGTCCTCACAGTTCTCAGGTGGGATGCCTGGGGGTGTGGATGCGGAGTTCAGGGTTCCGCTGCCAGGATCCTGCCTCCCCTCCACCCTCCTCAGTCTTAGATGTTGGCACGCATACAGCGACAGCGATGAGGGGAGTATATGTTTACTGGGGAAAGGGATGGTAAAGGCCGTGTTTGGTGCAATGGCAAGGCAGTTTTACACACTTTAAATAAAAGCTATTACTTCAGCTTTAAATCTGCAAGCCAGAATGTTATGCTTCAAGTTTCTTTAATGCGTTTAATATTTTGCAATAAAGCATTAAAACTGTTAGTTTTACCTAATCTACCTATTTATAGTCTAACTAAGGACTGATCCATTCTACCAGAAGCTACGTTTTCCTCTTTAATCAGTGTGTGTACACATGAGTGTCCCTGCACACTCCAGCTGAACACAGACCCGAAACCTACCTTTCTGTGGCCTTTCAAGGCCAGCCAGCACGGCTCAAACGGCTGATGTTCCCTTTGAACTCTTTTCTGCTTCCTCTTCCGGTCAGCATCACCATTATTTAAAGATCCCACGTCCAGAGATAATTCTTGAGTTTTAAGGAAATTCTTCCTGTCCCATTCGTTTTGATTTGTATCAGTCTATGCATATGGTTTCCCGGTGCTCTTCCCTTTGGGCTCATTGCTTCAGTAAGACTCGCTAAGTAATTGGTACGTATATGATTAATTTACAGAATGAGTCCTGAAGCCAGGGATGTACTGTAATTCCAATACTCAAGCGCATGAGGAAGATCATCCTCTTTTAAGAGAGGCTAGGCACTCTTTAAAAAATATATATTGATTGCCTCAAAGGGAAAGAGTGATTTTTTTTTTCATTTCCCACTGAGTCAGTTTTGGATGGTGAATAGTATAAGCAGCGTCCAAACCTACTAACCCAAAACTGCTAATAAAAAACTACTTTGTCGGAAAGGTCAAACATGGGTCACTCTCCCTCCTCTCCTTCCAAGAACACCCCAGAGATACCTAAAGGGGCTCGGTCTGTAGCCTTTGCATTGAGGCCCCAGAACAGAGTGAAGGGAGGAGAACAGAGCAGATCTTGGGAGGATGCAGGAGCTCTGTGATTGGCTCGGTTTTCTGTTTTGTTTTGTCTTTTATTTTTTTTTAACTCAATTGGCCAACTTCTAGAGTGTTCTACAATTAACCCCAGAACTATGACCTTTTCCAAGAATTGTGCTGGAAATAATCTTGTGTCTGGTGATCACTGGGGTGGCACAAAACCGATGAGCATTTTAAACTGGCGAATAAAAATAGACAGAGGGAGTCACGTGACTTAGTATCGGAAGCAGCCGTGACGTCAAATGAGGTAGAATGAATGGGTTGCCTCGGTACCACGTGATTTTAAGGAATAGACACCATGTACCTTGCTCCCATAGGTAACCCATGGCTTTTAGGCTGGTTACTTTTTTTTTTAATGTAAGGTACGTAATTAATTAAATGTAGAAACGGCTGTAACTGGCGGCGATTCCAGACTGAACAAACGCAAAGTGCTGTGAAAACAAAACTTGAATCAAGTCAGAAAAGAAAGCGATGCCTGTGGGGAAGGGATCAGACTCAATCAGACTGTATCCTTAATTTCCCTTTTCCAGGGATGGGAGAGACACGGTGGATTTTGTTACAAGATCGACACAGTCCCGAGAAGCTTTGACCAGGCTTCGGCTGGCTACTACTGCCCTCCGGGCCTCCTGACCGTCTCCAGCAGGTATGTAAGAACTTCCTAGCGTGCCTCTGCCTTCCAAGGGATTTGCAACGACAAAAATCTGTCCGCAGAGCTTGTCCCCATCTACAGCGTGTGTGCAGTGGGTTATGAAGTGGGTCTGAGTACTTGTTGAGAAGAATTGAAATCTGGTGTTCTAATTTGAGTTTTAAATGACAAATAGTAAAACTTAAGGTAGCTTTGACTTTCCGAGAACACTCACGGGTTATCCGGCTTTGTTGATATAGACAGCTATATTTGGGCTTTGTCTTCTGTTGGTAATGAGAAGAAAATGTCATTGAACAGTCCTTTTAAACAGGATGGTGAGAATGTGTTGGTTGGTTGGTTGGTTGGTTTAACAGGAAGGGAGATATAAAGAAAGTGAAGGGGCAGGGAAGTGCTTCTTAGGAGTTTTTTGTTTAGGCTTAGATTGCTCTGTCCACCTGTCTTCCTGACACTAGCACAGAAACTACACCTTGTTATGCAATTTAAAATTTGAAGTGTACTACAGATGTATAAAGTGAATAAAAGTCTCATAACAAAGGTGTATCCGCACCAATGCCTAGGCCAGTGAGGGCTGGGTAACCAGCTCTCCCATGCCCAAGACAGCATAGGGTAGAACTCTTCAATGGTTCCATGGGAAATGCTCAGCAAAATGAGTCATTCTGTGAGTTCATGGCCAGCCTGGTCTACATAGTGAATTCCAGGCTAGCCAGGGCTGCATTTGAGACTTTGTCCCCAATAAAAACACCGCACACATGCCTTGCTCAACCTACTTTGAAAGTCCACATTCACAGCCATTGTCATGGCCTTTCCCCTCCCATCCTCTTCTTCCTCACAGTGCTTAGGAATATGCTCATGCTTGGAAAGGAGACTGTGACCCAAGAGAACAGACTGGCAGTGTTCCATGGACTGAGTGGCCCTCACTGGGGCACAGCACAAGCTTGCCAGATCTCTGTACTATTTCTGGCTCTGCCTTTCTCCTTCCCAGGCACAGCTTCCAGACAGAAGGTCTCTCTCTCTCTCTCTCTCTCTCTCTCTCTCTCTCTCTCTCTGTCCTCAGCTCCCCAAAGCTCCAAGTGCAGTTGGGGTCACAAGTCTACCAGTCAGAGACTCAACATTGGACATTATGGGAGCCTGACCAATGAGACTAGCCTCCTTTGTTAATTATAATTTCATTGAAAAATAGAAGTCGATTGTTTCATCATCTTCTTAATATTTCATATTTCATTTCTGTTGAATATTAAGTATCTATCACTATAACTAAAATTTCTTCCCTTGGGGAGATGTAAACAAGGTCTATTCCTCCTTCTCTGGTCCCAATCACAAACTAAGGCACAATTCTGCTAAAGTTCACCCTGAGGAACCAGAGAGTTTATCTGGCTTTCTTACAGAACATAGATAAAAGGTTATATACAGGGCCATGAAATACTCCTTCCCCAATAGGCCACCCCTAGAAATCCTTACCCCAAAGGGATGAGGGCTTCCAGGAAGCTGCATTGCTGGCTCCTCCTCCCCACTCGGTCTTTCCAGGCTAATATAATCAGGCAGTATGGAGCCGCTGAATACTCAGGCAAGGTATAGTTTGCCTTTAAAGAGAAGTGTCACACAAATTACAAATTGGTTTTTTTTATTTTAATTTCAGCTGTGTCTTAGTTAGGGTTAATAATGCTATGATGAACCACCAGGACCAAAAGCAACTTGAAGAGGAAAGGATTTATTTGGCTTACATATCTTCAGTCACAGTTCACTGAGGGAAGCTAAGGTAGGAGGAACTCAAACCGACTGGGAACCTGGAGACAGGGGCTGATGCAGAGGCCATGAGGAGTGCTGCTTACTGGCGTGCTCCTTGTGGCTTGTTCAGCACCTAGAACCACCAGCCCAGGGCTGGCACCAGCCACGATGCCTGGTCCCTGCCGCACTGATCACTAGTTAAGAAAACCCCCTACGGACTCCCCTGCTTACAGCGGCTCTTCTGGAGGCATTTCTTCAATGGAGGCTCTCTCATCTCAGGTGATTCTAGGTCTTGTGAAGTTGACATAAAACTCACCAGCACAGGAGGTGTAGGTTACTTTGTTCCACGCCATCAGTCTCCAACAGAGCCTGCAGGGCTGTACAAGAGCCATGATGTGACATTTCTCCTACTCAGTGAGCACAAGGACTCCACCAACAAGGACACATCAAAAGCATTGACTCCATCAGGGGACTCTGGGGGAGGAAAGAGGGTTCCCTTCTCATGCAGACCCATCAGGGAAGAAACCAAGTGGTGATCAGTGCTGGGAAAGATGGGCAGTGTGAGGGAACTTTTCTCAAACCAAGGCGCTCCTGCTAACAGGCTTAGGAATCATCTGCTTTCCTTACCATTTCCCCTTTGAGTTACAGACACTCAACCACTCTGAGTGCCTAGGCTTGTAGTTGCTAATTGATTTTTCCACTGTCTGCACAATAGAGTGACAGGTTTGATGGGTGCAATTTGAACCACTAGCTGCAAATTACTCACTTCTTTTGTTATGGGACAACTGCTTCTAGTTTAAGGACCTTTTAACTCACAGTGGAGTAGAAAGAGGAAGAAAAACAGACCCTTCCTTCTGAGAACAAATTTTGATTTACTGGACTACTGTTTAAAAAAAAAAGAAAAAAGAAAAAGAAAGAAAAGAAAAACCCTCTTCAAGTCTGGCCGCTTTGCTTTCAGACAGAGCAGGGAGCAAAAACTGAATGGCAACAATACCACAAATTATTGTGTACATGCCCAGTAGCTACACTGATGAACCATGAATCAATCAGCCATGAAGAGTTTTGTGCAAATGATACTTGAGTTCGTGAATTTGCCGAAAAAGAGATATACTGACATATCTCACATTCTTCTGTTCTGAAGGCCATATGCCCATAAACAGTTAAAATTAAGTTGGTAAAATATTTGTGAAATAAAATGTACCATTGTCACCACTTTAAGAGAACATCAGTGGCCTTCCACCTTTCTGGGCCTCCACCAACGCCATCAATCTCCAGCCCGTGGGTCTTCTTCACAAACTGGAAATGCCATACTCATTCAGTAATACTTCCAGTTCTCTGCCCGCCCCCATCAGCTCCTGATGAGCAGTTTTCTGTTTTCAGTCTCTAGAATATGGGCTAGACATAATTAGGACCATCTTACATCTGTGCTGCTCTACCTGGCTCATTTCACTTAGCACAGTGCCTGCAGGTTTTATACACATTGCAACATATGTCAGAACTGTCTTCCTTTATATAGCTGGTCAATAGCTCATTGTTTGCGTACACACTGTGTTTTCCAACTTACTCATCGTTAGACATTTAGATTTCTTCTACCATCTGACCACTGTGAACAATGATACCTTGAATGAATACGCAAATCTGAGTCCTTAGTTGCAGTTCCTTGAGGATATAGTCAGAAGGGAGATTATTGAATCATGTGATGGTTTTAGTTTTAATATTTTGAGGAGTTGCAAAACTGTTTTCCATGGTGCTCACACCTTTCACATCTCCTTCTAGGAGCGCCCAGGGCTCCTCCAGGCTCTCCACGTTCTGGACTTTCCTTCTTACTTCCTGGTTGTTTTCCTTTCTTTTATTTTGGTAATAGTCACTAAGTATCTCACGGCAGCTGTGATTTTTATTTCTCATGATGATTATCAGTGCTGAGCACTTTTTCCTGTGCTTACTGACCACTTATACATCTTCAGAGAAATTTCTATTGAAGTCCTTAGCCCTCTTAAAGCTTAGGGCATGTATTGTTGAACTGAAAGAGTTCTTTGTGTATTCTGTACACACAAAGATACAGCTGATCTGATACATAATTTAAAATATTTTCTTCATTTTGTGATTGCCTTTTTACTTTTTGATATCTTTGATGTCCAAAAGCTTTTCACTGGGAGGAAGGCCCAATTTATTTCTTTGTTATTTTTTTGCCAGTCCTTTTGGTACCATATACTAGAAACCATCACCAAATCCAATGCTATGTGTTTTATCACAAGGATTTTACAATTTTAGCTTTATGTTTAGGTCTTTGATCTACTTTAGTTCATTTTCTAACACAGTATAAGGTAAGGATCCTGTTTTGCTTATCCAAATTTCCCTGTACTACTTGTTAAAAGGACTGAACTTCTACATGGAATGTTCTTGGTACTTATGTTGGACATTATTTGACCATATATGCAAGGTTTTATTTTGTGGCTTCTTCTATCTTATTCCACTGATCTATATGTCAGTCTTATGCAGTACAACACTGTATTGATTACTGTAGTTTTGAAGTAAGTTTTGAAATAAATAAAAAAACAAAAAAAAAAAAAGAAAGAAATCTGAGACACCGAACTTTGTTCTTTTTCCATATTGTTTTGGCAATTCCCTTGGAGTTGTACATAGATTTCAGAATTAATTTTTGTATTCTGCAGAAACAGATCGCTGGAATTTTCAGTGATTAAATTGAATATGTATTATTACTGTGGCAATGTGGACAAGTTAATAACCGTGAGTTTTCTCAGTTATAAAGGTGGGATGTCTTTGATATTTTTTTAATTAGCAGCCTGCAAATTTTGTTATTCAGTACTTTCTATTCTTTATGTGTCTTTGTTCCTAAGGTTCTCATTCTTTTTGGTGCTGTGGTAAGTGGAATTCTTTCCTTAGCTTCATTTTTGGATTGTTCATGGTTAGAGATAGAAAGACAACTTCTCTTGGTTCAAAGAATAGCATAAAACTAATATATATATATATATATATATATATATATATATATATATACAGTGATCTTGGTTTCTTAGACCATAGCAACATCTGAATTAATATCAGTAAATTCAAGCAAAATGTCCAGATGGCATACAGTTCCAACTTGTTCTATAAATGATTCTAAAACACGGGAGTAGAAAAACCCTTAAAAGGTTACTGTGATTATTTGAATGAAAATGGTCCCCATAGGCTCATGTATTCAAATGTTTGGTTTGAAGAACTGTTTAGAAAGGATTAGGAGGTTTGGCCTGTTGGAGGAGGTACATCACTGAAGGTGGGATTTGAGGTTTCAGAAGCCCCTCCCATTTCTGTTAGATTCTTCCCTTCCCTCCCCATCTCTGTGTCTCTGTATCTCTGTCTGTCTGTCTGTCTGACTCTTTATCTCTGTGTATGTGTGTGTCTCATACATTTGTGGATCAAATCTTAGCTACTGCTCTAGCGCCATGCCTGACTGTCTACCTGCTGTCTACCTGTCTGCCTGCCTGCTGCCGTGCTCCCCAACATGATGATCATAGACTCTAACCCTCTGGAGCATGAGCCTAAACTAAATGCTTTGTTTTATATGCTCCCTTCATCAACGTGTCTCTTCTCAGATACCATCCATATTGCTGCAGCCAGGATCTTTCATCCAGTGTTTGAAACTAGGCAGAAAGTGGTAAAGAATATAAAGCTGTTTCTTTGCTAATAGAAGCAGATACTCAAAAGCTTGTCCCAGGTAATACACTGTTATCCAGAGCACTTCCCAGACAGCTTTAGAAGGACATGTTTGGTCTAAAATAAAGACGCACCTGCTGAATTATTTTACTGATGTCACCATCTTGTAAATTGGACTGAGTGTTGCTTTTTGATTTGGAGATTTTAATGTTTGAGTATAAATAGACATGGCAAATCAGAAGGCGGGTTTCTATTGTCTCAAACAATGATGGAGGTAAAAGAGCAAATCAAAGTGGATGAATAAATCTGTAACCAAGAAGGTGCAAAAGCGCTGTTGCCATAAATAGTGACAGCCAAGACCAAAAGTTTCTTGCTATTATTTGATAAAGTAATGGAAGAACCAGCTATGCACCTGGACTTAGCAACAGCATAGTAACTGCTAGTCTCTGGCAGATAGCAGAGCCGTTCTGGGCAGAGGGGAGCTGCAAAGTAGATCAGATAAATAAGGAAAACCACCACAGCATCAAGACAATATTTAGCACTGTGCACCTTCCTCAGAGACACATGGGCGTAAAGTTCTGCCTCTGAGGCGCTGCTGAAAGTAACTGTTGTGATTCTAAAAGTGTAATATTTATATTGTTGATAGAACCTTTGCAGGAAATATTTACTAAAGCCTGATGAAGCCACATGCTCTGCCAAAGTGAGCGCTTCAGGTGCTTTGCTGAAATCCACTGGGGTGGCCCTTGGCTCGTAATGGTTCACCTTTTGGTCTTCTGTCATTCACTCCCCATTCCCTTTGAGTCTTCTCTATTTATAAATGGTCTCATTGCTTTCGCTCCCTGTAGCAAGTGAATAATGCGTGCAATAAAAAGAATCCAAAGTTGAATGTTAAAAGTCCAATGCACTTTCTCCTGAGGTTTTTTGGGTAATTTTACCAGGCGTTATGTTTCTCCTTTGACTCAGCAGATCTGGCTAGAAGTCACCACCTTTTGAAAGTCCTTTTTACTTTATGTGCTTTGAAAGTAGTTTCAAACTAAGCTTTGAATTCAATGCTAGTTGAGTTTGAGGCTCATGCATGTGTGTGTGTGTGTGTGTGTGTGTGTGTGTGTGTGTGTGTGTGTGT